TTTTTTTTTTTTTTTTTTTTTTTTTTTTTTTTTTTTTTTTGGATTTTGATGTAAATTATTTTGATTGGTTTATACTTGGCTGAGTTGGACTTCTCATTGACTTGAATTGAATAATCATAAACAATTAAACTATTGTATAAACGTCATATATTAGAAATTCTCGTATACGAAATTCAAATTCAAATATGGTTTCAATTGTAGATAAAATATATTTTTCAGTCATGTTGTTCAACGTAAGAATACTGTGTATAAGACTCGGTTTGGTTCTTTGAGTCATCACGAGTCTTACGTTTGGTTTTACTGGACTCACTTGAATTCACGATTGCTATTTACATGGCTTCTATAATTTGACGGACTTCATCGATGTAGTCATAATTCAACCATATATGAGGCATAAACCTCCATGGAAACGAGTACAATATCATCTCACTTATATCCCATCGAACTTGATTGACACTACTGATGACACCATTTGATAAGGAATCGTCTAAAGGGAAAGTAAGATTCAGATTATTTTATTCATACAAAATATCTCGGTAAGAAGATTTGTTTGAGATTCGAATCTTTTCACAACAAAGATTAATCCTGCCAAGCTTCAAAGATTCTAAATATTGGAAACTCTTGGTTAAAAGAAAACACAGATGCTCTTTTTACTACATGAGACTCCTCTCCTCGAACAAAATGCACTATAGAGCCTCTCCTAAGTCTTATGGAGCCCTCGAACAAACTACCCTTAATAGAAGTTCGACTTCTTCTCTTTTAGTCACTTTTGACTATATATAGCTCAATAAGTTAAAAGCATGACTGTGATACCATATTAGGTCACTCCTATTCTATTGGAATTACGATATCAATCATACTGCTCTGCGCTGGTAAATTAAAACGCTCATAATATCATTTTCCCGTCCCTATCTATCGCCAAATAATTAACACACTTCCATTTCCTCTGTTTCTTTCCTTCCCACCCAATCAATGGCGTCGTACTCCATGCAGATCGTCTCCTACAAAAACCCCTCTGCCACACAGATCCCTGTACAGCCATAGCCATATGGAGGAGAAGCTCTTCAGAACCACTTGCTCCACCGATCTCTGCTTCGCCATTTTCATTTCCTTCGCCCTAATCTGGATTTTTCTCTGTTTTGATTACTCCACTTTCCCTTCCTCCGACAATGGCGTCCTCATCGCTTCCTCTGTCTTCTCCACCGACAAATTACCCCTCCAGAATCCTTGCTCTGGCCGCTACTTGTTCATCCACAACATTCCGAGTCGATTTAATCTCGATTTGATTAGAGACTGCCAATCGCTTACAAGAGGAACCGATAAGTCCGATATGTGTCCGTATTTCCAGAACTCTGGCCTCGGGCCTGAAATCGAAGATTCTCGAGGAGTTTTCTTCAACTCTAGTTTGTTCAAGACGAATCAGTTTCTGTTGGAGGTCATTTTCCACAACAGAATCAAACAGTACGAATGCTTGACGAACGATTCGGCTATGGCGTCAGGTATTTATGTTCCGTTTTACGCTGGCCTCGATATCAGCCGTTACCTATGGAATCCGAATATCTCGGCTAGGGATTCTTCCGCTAGGGATTTTGTGCGTTTGATTTCTGAAAAACCTGAGTGGAAGAGGATGTTTGGGAGGGACCATTTCTTCGTTGCTGGAAGAATTTCTTGGGATTTCAGAAGGAAAACGGATGAAGTTTCTGGTTGGGGGAGTATACTCAGATTCTTGCCTGAATCTCACAATATGACGATGCTCTCTATTGAAGCGAGTTCGTGGAGAAACGATTTTGCGATTCCGTATCCGACTTATTTTCATCCATCCAAACGGAGCGAAGTTGTTGAATGGCAGAATCTCATGAGAGCTAGACGGCGCCCTCACTTATTCACCCTCATCGGCGCTCCACGGCCGGGTCTCAGAGACTCCATTCGAGATACCGTAATCAAGCAATGTCGAGATTCGTCTCTCTGTAAATTCATGGATTGCAGTTCCAATGGTGTTAACTGTGATGATCCTATCACCACCATGAAAGCATTTCAGAGCTCCATCTTCTGCTTGCAACCTCCAGGAGATTCATACACCAGAAGATCAATATTCGATTCGATTTTAGGTGGATGCATTCCGGTTTTCTTCAATCCAGGTACTGCATATTCCCAATATTTATGGCATTTTCCTGAGAACCAAACAGCATATTCTGTGTATATACCTGTGAGGGATGCGAGGATCTGGAGTGGGAGTATTGAGGGGATTTTGAAAGGGATTTCGAAAGAGAGGGAATCAGCCATGAGAGAAGAGGTCATAAGAATGATTCCAAGAATAGTTTATGCAGATCCCAGATCGAGTTCGTGGGATTTTGAGGATGCATTTGATTTAGCCATTAAAGGGATTCTTGAAAGAGTTGAAGATGTTAGAAGGAAGATCAAGGAGGGGAGAGATCCCGGTGAAGGATTTGATGACCCTCGTGATTCTAAGTATACATTTTCTATTAAATAAATCTCACTCATTTGTGAAATAAATCTATATATCAAAGACTTTACTTGTGCAGTTTTCGTGTTTTTTTTGAGCTCATCATAGTTTCTTCAATTTTCTCTCTTTGTCTTCGAGCAGCAAACTAAGCTTGTCTTTTTTTTTTTTTTCGACGAAACTTCATTTGAAGCTTCTCGAAACAGCCCATTTAAAACAACAACTCAACGAAACTTCATTTGGAGCTTCTTGAAAACAGCTCATTTGAGACAGCAACTCCTCATTTCTCCTGTTCTCAGCCACATTCGACTTAGTCAAAGACGTTACAGCTTCTTTCGGTTTACTCAATTCCCTTTGCAAGTCCACAAGGACATTTTCCACTTCCAACATTTCGGCTTTATCACGAGTGATTATCTCAATCGTGCCTAGTAGACTCACTGTCTCTTGTTGGACTTGATTCATATTCACGTCAAGTGAACCTCTCTGTTGAGTTAACATCCCTAGATCCTTCTCCTCTCTCATTAACTCTTTCACTAAACCATCAATCTCCGTTAATAAATCATTCTTTTTCTCACACCTTCAATTTTCTTCACAAGATCAGACATTACCTTCCCGTTCTCTTCCTTCTCACTTTGAGAGGGAAAGAACTCTCACTCGGTTCAGCCACTTCCTTCTCTAACCTTTCGATCTCTATTTCTAAATCTTTCTTTTCTTTTTCAATCTCTACTTTCTCCTTTGAAAAACACTCGTTCGGCGATTTCAACGTCTGCAATTGAGACTTCTCCACAGATTTACCCACGGTAGTTTTGGGTTGTTTCTCTGAATCTCTGTTCCCCTCCTCATGATCCGACAGTTTCTTTGGCTCATTTGCCGATCGTGTGGGCTTCTTCTTCGCCATTGTTTTGGGATTTTGAAGGATTGCCGCTTGCATTTGCATCATCTGTTTCTCATGTTATTTCTACCATCCTTTCTCTCCCTTCCATCTTTTTCTTCTTCCATTTTCACTTTATTCTCATCCTCTTTCTTCTTTCTTCCTCAAATTCTCTTTCCCGCCACTGAAGCTCTCTCTCTTTGAGCTCAAGCTCTCTATTATCCAATTGTTCATCCTTCTTCAATTTTCTCGTCTCTGATATAACGATTTTGCCAAATCCGCTGCGTATTACCTCATTTCTAACGACTTCCACTGCCTCACGACTACCGTCATCATCTTTCGCACCGCCATGTTCTTGTGCTTTCAGATCTTCATTTTGGGCCATCTAGAGAATATATTTATTTGTTGCGTCATCCAAAGCTAGGTTGATACAAAGCTAGGTTGATAGTTTCTTCCACTTTTATCGGCTCGACAATCTCTTGCAAAATGCCCCACTCTGCCACAATTGTAACATTTGTCGGAGTTACAATCATTCGCATAGTGAGCATATTTTTGACATTTGTAGCACTGAATGTTGGAATAAATTGATCGACTGTCTCTTCCTTGACTGCGTCCTCTTCCACGCCAATTTACTTGGCTCGACTGTCTCCTCCTTATAGTATCCTTCATTATTGCTGCCTTGACCCCCTCGACCCTTTCTACGACTTCCACGACCACAACCTCTACCTTGAAAATTTTGAGAGTAGAGTACCTTTTCATCTTTGATTGATGCCTTGGTTTGAAGTGTTTGATCGAGTGTTTCCTCCTTCTTCTTCTTACGTTGCTCGTGTGCCTCGAGAGAACCGACGAGCTCATCGACCGTGAATGTCGCTAGGTCCTTTGACTCTTCTATCGCACATACAACATTCTCAAAGTTGTTGGTTAATGACCTCAAGATCTTCTCCACAACCTGCGTCTCAGGTAACATTTCTCTGTTTCGATTGAGTTGGTTTACCATAGTCTGTATACGCATGATGTAGTCAGATACATTTTCTCACTCCTTCATCTTCATGCTCTCCAACTCACCATGAAGAGTTTGGAGACACACTTGCTTGACTCGATCGGTTCCTTCGAACACTTTTCTTAAAGTGTCCCACGCTTTTTTTGTAGTAGTTACACTAGCAATCTTCTCAAAGCCCGACTTGTCAACGGCTCGGAAGAACATGTATAATGTCACCTTATCCTTTGATCGCAACTTTTTTAACGCCTTGTTTTGTCCTGCCGTATAACCCGTGGTATCTTTTGGTTCTTCAAAACCTTATTCGACCACCTCCCATGCATCTTGAGAACCAAGAGAGCTTTCATTTGGATGCTCCAATTCTCGTAGTTTGTCTTCGTTAATAGTGGTAGCGGCATTTGACCCATCACATTCGCCATTGGCTCTGATACCAATTTGTTAAATAAATCTCACACGGTAACGATAGAACGCTCTGATACCAGTTTTTCCAACCGTGTTCCAGACAAAGAACGCAGTATTCCAGACAAAGAACGCTTAATTCCTTTTTCCAAAGGAAAGGAAGATTTGGGAGTGAAAATAGGAGAACCCATTGATTCATTTGGGATTATGATTCACAGAGTAAGAACTGTGTTCATATCT